TTAGTGCACATACTGCCAAAGTTTAACAAACTTTTACCATTTACCATACTGTGGCCTACAAACAATATGGGTATGTTACAAACAAAAATGTCTTAGAATTCATCAATCAATTAAGTGCACATATTCAATTTACTTTATAATACATGTATGTCTGAAACTGTAATTATACCACATGTCTGATGTTCATTCACTTTATTCATCTTCTGACATCTATTCACCTTATTTATCATGATTTTATTTTCAAGTACAGAACCAATCCTAGATCTACCTTTCATAAACATGTATGGTGTAAACTTACAAGGTACATCATGCAGACCTGTTCAGGTTTTAACTTGCCTGGATAAGACTTTCTATTCTAGGTGAAGGGTGGAGGGACTGGGGTAATTCTTTACAGTACAGACACACTCACCAGAGACTAACGATCATATACTTAAAGAAAAAGCGTAACATAAATCAGTTCTTAACACAATTTTCTTATGCTATATTCTTTATGATTACAGGAAGTCTTAATGTGATGTAATTTTAGGACTGTCAGTTTAAAAAATACAATGTTCTTATCATCTTGCCTTATTTTGGTATATCAGCTGATTTTTGGGGGAATTATTCCTTGGCAGAGGAAGTGGATTCCACAACTTCTTTAAGCATAAAACCTTAAGTACCCAACTCCATGTCATAAAATTTATTCATCAATCTAATTTCCCATGACTGGGTGTGCCCAACTGCCCAAAGACTACAACTTTTAGCCCTCTACAAGAATATCATCTTCAATTTACCCTAGCTTAGTGAATCCAGATTAACTGGGAGTGTAAACAGTTCCCCCTAAAAATGCATTGTGAGAGCACAGTCCCTAACAATGATAAAATTACATAAATATCACATAATCAATACCTCAGGTTTTGTCTCATTTCTATTGTCTAATGAATTAAACATTGACTAAGCCACATCACATGTTCACTATCAAAAAGAATATAATGATACTAAATTTGAGGGATTTTACTTTAGAAAATTATCCATTATGTTTTTCTATGGATTCACAAAAAAATAGTCAATACAATCACAAAAAAACTCATTTAAGAGTGGCCTTGAAGTGATCTTCTAAATATTTACCTAATTCAATTAAAAACTTATTTATATCCATTTTCAGTAACCATTCAGGGGACTTTCACATGACAGACAGTGGTATCAATGGAATCTTCTTACTCTATACTACACATATGCATAGAAATTAAGATACAGAAATATCCCAGTGCCCACAATCTTGGCCCCTAGAATAGGGGGAAGCATGAAATGTACCAGGGATAATGGAGAGTGAAATGTGGAAAATATCCATAGAATTGGTCTGTTTATAGTCAAATACTTGGAGGTGTGCCTTCGACATCCCCACCAATGGGGGCTGCCACCCCGACCCTGTACGACAAAGCATTAACTACACATGTACATCAGGAGAAACTAAGAGGACAGACAGCATCAGGTACTCCCAGGCACTGTAATTGTACTATGAGCATGTAACAAACACTGATATATCTGTTGCAGGTGGTGCAACCCCTGCCTGCCACATCTAACCCCTACCCAAGACTACAAAGAATAACCTATGTATGTACAAAGCAATAGTTAATCACATGGCTATGTACCATGAGCAGCAGCACATCAACCAGTGATATAGTCAGCATCATATACTGACTAGAATATGGGGTATTTCACATCATCCATTAATTAGGTTAGTAAATTATTAATCCTAGGCTGTATCTTGCCTTGTTCATCCCACATGTCAGTCATACACTCTATCCTGCCATGAATGTGTGAAGGATTCTTTATCTTCCATGGCTTCCATTATTTTTATCATAGTGATGTGTTCTGCATATATTATTCATACTCTTCACAATATCCCTAGTACCATTCATACTCTCCCCTGGTATTAGGTCCAAGAATGTGGGGCTTTGGGGGTTTAAGGGTATGGAGGTTTTACTTAGCAAAAATCTTACAAATAGGTAATTTTTTTGTTTCACACAGCCATCCAACCTTGCAATCATTATTCTGGTCTTAATCATTCATAGTGTATTATACATAAATCTGTTGGTGTTTTCCATCACAAATGGTCTAAGTCAAAGCTGAGACCAAGTATCTATTTCTTCGGTCACTTCTGGGAATTCAAAAACATCACCATATGAGTCAAGAACCTTCCTAATGCAGGGGTTTCACCCCTAGTACCCCTATCTAATTGCTCTATTTCTCCTGCAACACCCATGGGGCTACCTGTGGCTCAGCCCCCTGCATTAGACAATATAGTGATTGATTCTGTCATATCTTACCCCCTAATTTGCCTGGTATCTTTCAGGCCCTCCCTCCACCAACTGGTCCATGATTGACGCTAATAGGGAGCGGGGGGGGTGTCAGCATAATTTCTATAATTAGAAAATAGAGAATGGGAGGATTCTATTGATACCAAAATCGTTGTAAACCATTACCCTTTTATTTATATCATTTGCAATGGATACTAACAAGACATTCAGGCATATTACAGCATTGATAACAGGAAGGAATAATAATGGCTAGATTGGTTGACTGTGTGAAACTAAAAAATTAATAGTATTCAGAACACCTTTGCACCCTTGATCATGATGATAGTGGTATTGGTGGATGCCTCTCACCCTCTGCTACCCAATAGAAATGCCACAGATGAAAAATGTTGTATTTCCTGTTATTGTATCTACAGATATGTGAGGATTCATTGTGCATAGCCTGTACAGTATAATCTGTATTATGTTTACCCTTTATTTCTGCGTATATTGTATGTATTGTATGTACTGTAACCTCGCCATCGTCCTTGGCCACATGACCCTGTGTGACCAGGATTTCCCACCAAATCTCAGTCTCTCAGCGCTGGTCAAGCACAGGAGACAGATGTGTACTCTGTTACAGGGAAAGTTTACCTTGCACTTTACAGCTGTGGGAAACTGAAACTAAGTAGGTGTTATGTGTGTTATGCATTCATTAGCACCCTGCACATTATTATTGAGATTAAGATTGAGATATAAGTTACTGAGAGCAATGTACAGATATAGGGGGATATGGACACTGCGAGACTGTAAGTAATAAATAGAAGCTAGGAAAGGTTAGGTTCGGGTTTCAGGTTCGCATAATACCCTGATTTTGGGACTAAATCTCTGGAGGGTGCGTTGCTCTTGGTAACAATTACCTGAAACTATAATGAAATTTCTTATTATCAACTTGCAAAGGAAATACAACAGAAATGGGTCTCAGTTTACATCAAGGTATTCATTCAATATACTTTATTTGAGTATAAATTTTCTAAAATTCCCAATTTTCTCATTCTTTACATTTACATTGTTAAGCTATTCAAAATAATTACTTTTTTATTCGATTTCCTCCAACAGAAAGATCCCTGAGGAAGTTTGAGATACTGTTCTAAGGAATGACTCAAACTACAACTCCTTTTTCCAATCTGGCAAGTCCGTGGCCTTATTCCTCGCACAACGCTGGCAATTGCCAAATAACTGTGAAAATAGCAAGCTGCTAGCAGGTGGAAGGAAGCCGTGTGGGTTCACGCCGATCTACAAGAACGACCGCCTAAAAGAAAACAAACACGGGAAGGAAATAAAAACTTTCTTCAGTACACTATTCGAGTCAGTGGAGACCTCGAGGCTTACCTAAAGATGCCTGTGGGTGTAGGCCTAAGAGATCACAAAAATTCAATATCAAATAACTGAAAAATAAGTATAAAACTTCACATGGCCTAGAGAAGCTGGCTTTGCAACACCGCTTTCAGCTGCCACAGGCAGATGGAAGTTATCATACTGGAAAAAGACAAAAACAATGTGTTTTGGATTTTCTTCCTTTTAAATATTTTTGAAAAGACTTTACTT